AAGGCTGGCAAGCATTGATGGTTAGGCATCTCGTGTAGATGTCGTCTCCTTCTCAGGCCGAACGTTTGTTCGATTGTAGATAGGTGTGAAAACCCTGAGTGCCCAAACAAACAATGCATGAAATAGTGTGCTGTTTGACAATTATGAAAAGTTGTCTACTATATTGTTAAATGTCAGAGAACAAATGTGATGGGATTTTCAGCTCGGGATAATTGGAATAGAGCTATCGTAGGACGTAAAAACCAACCTAATTTTAAAGTTCATGCGTGTTTTTGTCTCCGAAATGAGGCAACTTTTGAAGTGCGTAGGCATCAAAGCATCCTTTAAATTAACTACTTTTTTGCTAGCTTTTATTATCTCATTTTTCCCTTCTAAAGTGCGTTGCAAAGTGTACTGTGAAAGTGCTTCTGTCTAGGATTATGCTGTTCTAATCTGATGAACTAATAATTCTTCTAAAGGGCAATCCTCGCTTTCCTATTCAGTGGTGCGCAGTCCTGCAGCGCGCCGACGTAGCATCGCATATCTGTTTCCCAAGTCACAATCCCAATACGATGAAACAAGGTGCTCTTTTTGTGAATTACAAATGAGTCTTTTTTTTTGAGAAATGGTCTGTTAAAAATCTCGACGTCCTCTGTTGTCCTATCGGGACAAGCTCATCTGCTTACTAATTTTAGTCGTGACCTACACACGATAACTACTTTGATAGTAGCTTCAAAATTATTATTGCACACGTCTCACGCCCAGGGTAACAAAGCCCTCGGTGACTCATTGTTAATTAGACTCTTAAACTCCCAAAATCGTCTCCAGTTTTTAAATTATTTTCATCTTTTTAATGTTTTACTCAATTAATAGTCAAGCAGTTACAAGCACATACTTTTGGAGAAATATTTTGGGGCCGCCTATTTATGTCAGAATGGCTGTTAAAAGATTTTAAATGCACTGTTCATCTGCTCCCATCTAGGTGCTCGGTTTCATCACGGTTTCGCCATGACGGATTTAGTAGCATTTTGCGAGACACGGCAGACCAAATAACTGAAGTGTCAAGAGTGCTTTGCTGAGGCCTGTTGATGTGCTCGTTCCTCTCGTCTTCATTCATATGTTTGGCGAGCTAGAAAGCTCAAGCTCTTGGGTATCGCGCTTTATTAGCATGGTTTTTCGGAATTAACTATGAAATGAGAGGCGATTAGTCTTACGTTTTTCCCAGGTCACGAACTCGCATCCTGCGTTTGAAGCCATCAACCACTAAGTTAGCTTGACACCTATAAGTCCGTCTCCTTCCCTCTTTGAAAACAACTGTCCCCTTTATTGAGAATTAAATGACCTTGCTGAGTTTTGCAGAGTTCACTTTTTTTATCAATTTTATGGCTTTCAGATTTGAATGATCTTGTAGTGCACGAGTTACTCAAAGGAGTGTGATTGGTAGTCTAGGATCTACACATAATTACGAACGGCCTTATGAAATTGAGCCTCTCTAATGCAACGTCTAAGGGGAGTCATAAAGTTGCGAGATGATTGCCGCTTTAAAGGCAATAGCTCTGTTTGCCTCGAGCATTTGTTCCTTTTACTGTTTATATCCAACAAGGAACTTCAACTCATATGGTGCTTTCATTCGTTGCTTTTCTGTCTATTTTTAAACCTGTCTTTTGGGGGGAAACACGAATTACTCATTGCAGTATAATATGACTTGTATTTTACATGATCGATAGAAGCTTCCTACAATCGGTTGTATGAGTTCTCAATTATTCTCTAAGGTGATGCCTGCTTGGGCGCCTTTCGCAGTCTCTGCTGTTACTAACTACCAGCAGCAGAGCAGTCAGGGTCAAGAAGTCCCTGGGAGCCTCACCTATTCGGAACTTTCATTGGCCTCATCTACCAATCCGATGGGCCTCTTTTCTGGCTCTTCAGACGCCTCATCGGCGGTTCTTCAGCGGACCTCCATGCCAAGTCCGCCTGGTCTTTCCACACTTTCGCACCAACAGCAGCCTTCTAGTGGGAATAACTCAGAGCGCAAGCAGCGCAGCCTTTCGCAAACGTTTCCTGACTCTGACGAGACTTCATCTCTGTAAGTCTCAGCAGTGATAAGTAGCTAGGTTGTAAGTGGAACTGAAATTGAAATTTGTCACTGGTGTCGTCAGATCACGTGCATTCAACTCTGGTCTGGTCTCTTTGGGCATTATTTTTACCACAATAAATCGGTTTTAGGCCTGAAACACAAATATGCCCTTTTCACACAAAGTCACATGGGAAGCTTTGGTACAATGTGTGTGTGCTTTCGTCTGGGCGGTTTTATCCAAGGGGGTGGAGAGGCGTGACATGCCAGCCCTTCAGCTGTCTGCGAATAATCAATTCTTTATCCTCTGAACCCACAAAATGTCGGCTGCGTAGTCCTAGTAGTGTCTGCTTTGTTCACATCTAAGACAGCCTATAGCTGGATAATTTTCATCCTCGACATTGAAGCAATTAGGCGTGCGTTCTAAGGTTGAAATCCATTGACTGACATGCTATCTGAATTTCATTCAGCTGCGCTCTCATTATCTCTTTGGGCCACTAAACTTTGTCTTGCTGTATCAACTCGCAGTACGTGCGAAATTACCCATGCCCCACGCAACGCTAAGGTGTTTTTTTCTGCCCTATTCCTTAATTTCATTCCGACAAATGTATGCAG